CCCTCTTTCCTTTCTGTTCTGACTATGTGGTTTATATTTGAAAAACAGAGTCCATGGTGGCCCGGGCTTTATACACATAACACAGAAGAGAACAAAAGAGTGTTGGGCCTTGGAGGACAGGAAATTTCTGTCCCCCTTACCTGGTGTAGGAAACACTTACTGAGTACCACATTGTCAGCAGGGATAAGACAAGTCCTTGAACCCAGGTCTTAGATCCTCTTGATAGACACCCTCCAGCATATCTGAGAATCCCATTCAATACAGAGTGCTGAAGGGAAATAATTCCCCTACCTTCTGGTCAACCCTGCTTTACAGATGGAGGAGAGAGTGGGGTTTTTCATAAAGTCACTGATACTTCAAATGTTATTTAAAATTCAACATAGGTTTGTATGTTCTTTAACATAGAATTGGCCTAGGGGACTCATGTCTGCCACAAGATATTTCCATACAATTACATCCATATTAAGCATTTAAAATCCATATTTGTCATAGAGAAGGAATGTCTGCTAGAAAAACAACTAAAGTAAACTTTCTGAGCCAAAGAGACATCTCACTGACATCAAAACATTGAGATTGCCAAGTATCACAGCATTTTTCCAAAACCCAATGCTCTATAGAAGGAATGCAACCAAACATGAACTGTGAGAGGTGATGCTGTGTCACTGTAGGTCCTTGTTCTATAAAGGCTGGAGACAGTAGGGCAAGATCATGTGACTGCAAAGGAAGCACATGCGGGGGCCATAGAATACTGTATGATCTCAGGAGGACCTATCTAAATTAGCATGCACTTACACTGAATCCCTGTGTGAGGTCTGTGAAAAGTGATTTAATAACAATTTCAACCAACTTACAGGAATTAACCCCGTAAGGGTGAAAAGGTAAAGGAGAAACACTGTCTCTGTCTTGATCCAAGTAATCTGCTCTTTCATGCTTCTGACTAAAGGCTGTTGAATGTGTGTTTTATATGTGTTATGATAATCATTTACTGAAAACAGAAAACATGATTTTGAATAAATCTTATTAAATGAATATCCAGAATCATTTAATAAGTCATACAGGTATTGTGTGATGAATGTTTGTAGTCTGTTTATTTTTTGAGTTCCTTGGAGTTGCTAACAAGGAGTCATCCTTGTTACAGTGTGTTAAAGATGACTTCATCTCCTCTGTTCATAGACCAAGCTACACCTTATTTCCATGCCCACTATGCACTAATGAGTCTGAGGATTGGCTGTTATTAGAAAATCCTTACAACTGAGGACAATCTGTGGGACTTTGGTGGACTTTTTGATGCCAATCCACTTCTTCACCCCTGGAAATCCCATATCTGAGTCTTTGCTTTTTTATGAATGTCCTTTAGGCTCTGAGATCCCATGGTGGGGACAGATCTCATCAATGGAGAGACAGCTGTACAGTGCAAGTTCTGAAGGACTTCAACCTCTCTGCATTCTCTGTCACCTTGTGTGTGACACTACAATGATTTGGGGGCATTTATTTTAGACTTTCTAACTCATGTTGGTTTGTTCAAATTTCCCTAATGTTCAGACCCAATTTGACAAAAAATATCACAGAATGCAATGTAAGGCTTGTTAACTGAAGGGTTCATATGAGACACTCACACTGCTGAGTTTATTTTAATTACATGAGTGGGGCACTGTGTGGCATGGTGTGTACTTGGGTTAGATTTCCATTCTCAGGGCTCTGTGGGAGGAGAGCACAAATCACAGGCCAGGTCAATCTGATCACTTAACCTTTACTTTTCTTCTATATCAGAGGTGGATTCTGCTCTGTCACATTTTAAGATGTTAATGATTAGTATGAATACTTGCATATTTACTGCATATGGTGATTTTAATCCTATCACCAATAGATATATTTTCTCACACAGAAGAGTCCATATTTGTGAAGAAGTAACCATTGACAGCAGAGTTCTTATCTACACTAAGCCACATACACATGACACCAGGAAATCCCCTGTTGTGCATTTCATGGTGGGTGATGCAGCTGCAGGTGTGTGGAGGACCCCCTTGTCACACTGTGTCTCATTCCCTAGGCATCTCAGCAACTGCTATGTGTGAGCAGACTAGGATGACCTCTAACACACAGATGTTACTGAGAGTGCAGTGTGTGAGCAATCAAAAATGAAATTAAATTTTTATGTGAAAACTAATTCCATGTGAGATCAGCTGAGTTCCAAAAAGTTGTTTTCAATAAAACATATTCCTCAACACAGAGAAATGGCTCAGGCAATAAAGACTTTATCCACATTCAAAGTGAAAAGAAATATTTCTGTACACCCTGTCCTGAGACTCACAGTGAAACACAAACAAACGTAACTTTACATAAACACAGCATTGCAGCATGAGAGAGAGAAAAGACTCCATGTCTTCCCTGTTCTTAGGGATTGAGAATCAAAGTCAGTGGAAACCAGGCGTTTTTCCTTCCCTATTCTAAAGACTAAAAGTTCTTGGGCTTCCTTAGGGCTGAGCGCCCCCTGCTGGCCCAGAGCTCCTCTGCAGGGAGGTTTTTGTCTGGGCTCATGCTGAAGTCCCCTCACTGTGACTCTTGCACAGTAATATGTGGCTGTGTCCTCAGTGGTCACAGAGTTCAGCTGCAGGAAGAACTGGTTCTTGGCTGTGTCTCTGGTGATGGAGATGCGGCTCTTGAGGGATGGGTTGTAGTCGGTGCCACCACCATTATCTATGTACCCCATCCACTCCAGCTTCTTCCCTGGGAACTGCCTGATCCAGATCCAGTCGTAACTGGTGATGGAGTCACCAGTGACAGAGCAAGTGAGGGACAGCGACTCTGAGGGCTTCACCAGGCCAGGTCCTGACTCCTGAAGCTGGATCTGGGACAGGACCCCTTCGGACAGGAAGAGTCAATATTTTCAATCACATGTTGTCACATCCCCTCATGGACACATGTATGAAATGGTCACACTCACCAGGAAGGGCTGTCACCAGGTACAGAAGACCCAACAATCTCATCTTCTGGGCTACACCCTCTTTTCTCAGAGGTCAGCCTCCTATGAGAGAGATGTGAGCTCCCACAGCCCAGGAGGGGATTTAACTTAGAGCTAGAAGATGCATTTGCATGTGGGGAGTCAGGCTTGTCCTTATAAAAGAGGAGGGTGGATGCCACTCCATTTCCTTATTACAATACAGACATCGCTGTGTCTGACTTCCTACAGTGTGTGTCTTGATTAAGAGAGCATGGGGACTACAGGGATCACAGGAAACACATATTGTTATGACCACACCTCTGCTCCCAAACCTCCAAAAAATTCTTCTGGTCCTGTATATTTTTGTTCTTTTTCTCCATTCATTTATTTCTTAACATATTATATGTTACTATTTTAACTGATTAATTAATTTTTATATTCCTATCCCAGATTCTCCTCCCCACACTCTGCTTGCTACTCCCACTCCCATCTTCTCCTTGGAGAGTATAAGGTCTCCCCTAGGAATCTACTAATTCTGTCCATCATCTCCTTGAGGCAGGAACAAGGTGCCTCCCCACCACCGGGCATCCCTGTGTCTAGGCTGGACAAGGTGTCTCTCCATATAGAATGGACTCCACTAAGTCAGTTTGTGCATTAGAGTTATATCTCGGTCACACCTTTGTTCCATTGTCCTCCATGTTGGTTCTGATCTTCCTTGAAGGTTGGTTTCTGATTGCTTACACTGAAACTGCACTATCTGTCTTGATCATTAACACATCCCTGAAACATAAGTGCTCACAGAGCTCAGCTATTGGGATAAATGGCTTTGTTTACTGGGATATGCAGACTGGATGTTTCAGAGATTGATTTCATGTTGTGTCAATATTACTACCAATGTCTCCTCAAAGACGACAGGTTCTCTCTCTCTCTCTCTCTCTCTCTCTCTCTCTCTCTCTCTCTCTCTCTCTCTCTCTCTCTCCCTCCCCCTCTCCACTCCCCTCCCTCTTTACTCTAGGTCCACTGTCCTCTTATTTTTGGACATGGTATGTGTTATTAAATCTCTCCTGGAGTTGAAAGTATTCATTCATAAAGGATGGATTCAGAAGTTGCTCCCATACGTGAGATAATTCAATATAACAGTGTATAATGTTTCCAATTCAGTATAAATCTCTGAATTATTGTTACACACATTATAATGAAAATACATGATACAGAGAGTCATCTGGTTCTTGTCTATTTAGCTATAAATTCAATATCATACAGAAGGACCTAATGTTGAAGGAGAGAAGCAGCTGGATCCAGTCTGTTGCATGGCTTCTGTTCTATCTACACTGCAGTCTCTGAATGTATTGATTCTGGCAATGAAATCCACAAAGGCTGCTGGGATCCCCTCATTGCACTACTTTCCTATCAACTTCTGCTACCATTTAATTCTAAGGAACTTGGCTCTCCAGTGCTGTCTACTACTTTTATTATAAGTTTGTCTATGGGCTCATGCACTGTGTCCCAACCATGGCTTTTCCTTCTGTCTTCATTTTCCACTCTTTGTTGAGTAGATACTTCAAGAATGAATAGTGAGCTGTGCCTCAATTGTTTTCCAGATCTAGGAAACCCATTTTATTCCTTGGTGTTGTTGAATTTAGCTTTAGTAATGACAACTGACGATGAACTGAATTGATAGCACAGCTGATGGACAGTGTCTACAATTACTCTACAAGGCAAAAATCCAAACACTCTGTAGAACAAAGGTGACCAGCAGATATCCAATGGCCTCTGAGAGATGATGGTGTATCAGTAAAGGTCCATGTTCTACAAAGCCTTGAGACTGTGGGGCAGGTGACTGATACTGGGAAGCAAGTAAATATGGGACCAGTGAATACTGTCTGATCTCAGAACCAACCTCAATGGACATGTACATACATGGATGTGATTAACAATTTGTGTGAAAATTAACGTGATAATATTCTTGAAAAACTTACAGGATTAAACTTGCTTGGCACTGCATGTGGTTGTAACACTGTGTCTCTTGTACAGTAATAGACTACAGAGTCCTCAGATGTCAGCTGCTGAGTTCCATGTAGGCTGTGCTGGAGGATGTGTCTGCAGTCAGTGTGGCCTTGCCCTTGAAATTCTGTGCATAGCCAGTATTTCCAGTATAAGGATTAAAATATCCAATCCACTCCAGGCCCTGTCCAGGCTTCTGCTTCACCCAGTACATAGCATAGTCAGTGAAGGTGTAGCCTGAAGCCTTGCAGGACAGCTTCACTGAAGCCCCAGGCTTTAACAGCTCAGCCACAGACTGCTGCAGCTGGACCTTGGAGTGGACACCTGATATGAGAAGGGCAGATTGGATATCACTGTCACCTGAGAACATGGCACCTCCTCAAGTCTGGAACTTGGAACCCTTACCTGTAGCTGTTGTCACCAGGAAGAGGATGATCCAGCTCCATCCCATGGTGAGGACCTGTGTGCTCAGTGACTGTGGAGAGGACACTGATCATATGTTGTTGGTGGTGTGGACATCCCTGTATTTACCACCATAGGCTCAGGAGATTTGCATATTCATGAGCAGGATAGTTCTTCAATGAGGACCTAGTCCAGCTGGAGAAAGTGGTGGAGGACACCTGGGTCAGGCAGCAGGATGCTGAGATCCAAATCCTCATCATGTCTGAGGAAGCAGCCATTCCTGAGACCTGTGCAGACCCTGTGGATATAAAATAAGCCTAATCCTTCACATTCCAGTTAGAATCCCAACCAAGTCATCAGGTCATTTCTCTGACAAAATTGATTTCCAGGTGGTGGTAGTGATGAGGATAACTGTCAATGGAAATTCCCAAAACTCACAAATTAGGAGAACTTTCACTCTTCATTCATATATAAGATGTTAATATTTTCATTCTCAGTATGATGCAGTTGTATGTTCATGGTGGCTTTTTTTGATAAATCTTTTCCTTTTTATATCTCAATCCTTTCAATTGAGAAAAAGAAAGTTTGTGGGGCTCTGGCAGAAATAAGGAAAAGGTCTGAGAGGTGTTGGGCATGGGAACACATCAGAACACATTGCATAAAAATGTTTTACAAAAATTAAATACAAATAAACAGTTAAAATCAAATGAGAAAATTAAAACTGTGGAATATTTGACAATGAATTTTTCTCATGTTTGAAAATTATAGATTTCACATATCAACTGTGGCAGTTGTTGTTCAGCTAATAGACTTTAAGAAGCAAGATCACAGAGGTTCTGGAGTTCCCTCCAGTCATCTTTTGATTTCCATCCCAGGGATTAATGACTCCCTTGCGCCACAGACAATGTGGGAAATCAAGAAAGTTTTTATTTTTTTTTTATTCCATCTGACCACAAGTAGCAAAAGGTTACCTTAGATGCTCCATGAGAAAACAATGGTGTGCTTAGTAGATCAGAAACAGGTAGTAATTGTGACAGAATATGACAGCTGAGCTCCTCTGTCTGAGCTGTAAGGTCAGAGCTGGGGTGCTTTTCATGAGCAGAGAGTGGGCCCATTTGCTTGTCTTCCTGCTTTATAGCAAGCTCTGTAGGGGAGCCTGGAAAAGGCAGGTCCTGGATTATTTTGAAAGACCCCTGCCCCTTATCCCTTTCTTTCCCAAGTTTGCCCCCTCCTCCGGTCGGCGGCTTCCCTGATCCCCACCCCCCGCCGGCCTCTACTTCCCCCGCTGCCCCTTAGCCTGCCCGGCCGGAGAACGAGCACCAGGTGGGCCGGCACGAGAACAAACACCAAGTGAGCCGGCCTGGAGCCCTGCCCCTGAGCCCCCGCCCGATGAGAAACACTCCGTCCCACGGTCTCCGCCCCCAAGGTCAGCCATCAGGAAGCGGAGGGGGGGAATTGAGTCTGTTGTACCAGACACCAGACACCAGACCTTGAGAATATGCTGATCTGGAATGGCTCTGTGTCTCATTTGAACCATCCAATAGAAATGATTCTGTATTTCGCCTCATTTGAAAGACTCTGTGTTTCACCTCATTTGAATAACTCTGTACTGCGCCTCATTTGAATAACCCTGTATAGCGCCTCATTTACATTGACCCATGGGAATAGCTCTGTACAATGCCTCATTAGAATTATCCAATAGAATCCTTGCT